AATGTATATAAACCTCAAAAATTTAGGTTTTATGACATTTCATAATAATATTTGGACAGTATAGGCAGGTGGCTATGGTGAAAAAAGATTTCATTATATGCTACAAACTCGAGTCATTTTAATCACTTATTGACCCAAAGTTGAAGCTAAGATTTTCCTCACCAAGAACCTTAAATTATTCCTTAGGGACACTAATACGTATTGGCCATAGTGTTATTTATAAAAATTTTGGTATCTGTAGTAATGTCGGAATTACGAAGAAGTCATAATACGAGGGCTCAGAATTGCTATTCTTCAGGTTTACGAATTAGTTGCTTCGACGAACTCCCCTTACCTGAGGTATAACGCATTCTATGGAAACGACAGTTTCCAAACCAAAAAAACGAAAAGCTAGGACTTGGGGTTTAAAAAAGGTATGCATTGCCTCCACACGAACCAGGCACCATAACAAGCAGGTGTCCACAAAGAGTTCAAGTACACAGAAGGAAGCAAAGGAGTAAAAGGCGTGGGAAGTTAATATTAGCCCGATTTATCATCTCACAGGAATGCGTAGAATAGACGTCACCTGGATGCAGTAGAACTGAGAGCGAGAGAGATAACTTGTGAACAGATACCAGGGAACAGGTCGGTCACAGCCACGGTTGAATAGATGGGATGGCCTCAGCAGCAAAACTCTTCTGGTGGTGGAAGTATCAGATCCTCTGGATCAAAGCTGTTACCCTGTGTAGGTGGTGGGGTTTTAGCTGACATGGCAGAGAGGGAACACGGATAGGTACCGACTCCGTCAGTTACACTAGGACGTCTACTGGGGCCAAAGTTATCGCCTGCACCGGTCATAGAAAGTGGACGTGGATTTTCGTTGGGGTGACGAGTGCTGCGGTCGCGTCTGCGGGGTCCAGACGCCTCGTGACCTCGACGGATCGGAGAATGGTAGTGTGGAAGGAATGAGAGTTGTGGTTGAGGCACAGAATGAATTGGACGACCCGCAGTATAGTTGCTCGCGTAGCTCGGACGGGCGATGTGGCGCAGAGAACTCACTGAATCCGTGGCTCTGGTGTGGGAACTGAGGCTTGGTATGTCCGTCCCAATGTCCTGAAAGGGTTTAGTACTTTGTTCCATACTTTTCTTGTCTGAGTTATTGCTCTGCTTACTTTCTTGGGCGTCTTAAAACGGTGGTATGATAGAGAAAAAATGGTGCAATTTTTCCATGCCTTCAGCTGAACCTACCTAGTTGTGGTTTCCATTCAGTTGCCAATATTGCTTAGAT